TGGGTAAATGACAAAGTCTACTTGACCTCATTGCTCTAAAAAGGCAGTGGTGCTCTAGAAAGGGGTGGCCGGGAGGTGGTATTGGACAATACCAAACAGCCAGCTGTTCTGTTATCCCTGAACAGCAAACCCTCCCAGGAAAAGGCCTCAAGCAGACTACTGAGTTCAAATCCCTTGAAGGTCAGGTCGGCACGGCTTGCGAAACTCATGGTTTGGATCCCGCCAATTCAAAATTCACGCGGCTGTGAGTGGGTTAAGTTTTTCCCAGGGAGGAGGCAGGGGGAGGACTACCAGGCACAGGGAGCCTATGGAACCCAGGCCCTTGGTCTGCGAGGTCAGGGTTGCCTGGGATGGGTCAGTCACCTGGGAGCCGGTTCCGCTGCCTCGGGCCTCGGACGCACACTGTCCGCACCAAGGGCGCCAGCTTCTGCTTGAAAGCACCTGCTGCCAGGCTTCCACACCGGAACATTTCGGCAACCGCTACTCTGTACCTCCTCCTTTCCTTTCTTCTCACTGACCCACCGACAGGTCAAACACTGTGGGCCCCGGCCGGTTCCCCCCCAGCTCCCCTCACACGCACTCTACGCAGGCTCCTCCTTTCAGCTCCGGGAGGGCATTGGACAGTTAAGCTGGCCTGCTAGAGCAGGGGAAGGGGAAGCGCGGCTGGATGCCTACTGCGCAGGCGTAATGCTCAGCGCCGCATTGCGATTGGCTCGTACGGCGAGAGATTTGCGCATGCGCCTGGCTGCCACACTGTTGCAAAGACCGCGGCAGCGGGTGTTTGCAAGTTTCCACGGGTTGGTGGCAATGCTTTCCGCTGAGCGAGTTTCCAAAGGAGGGAGCCGTGGGGCCTCTTTGCCTGGCGGTTGTGGCCGGTGCTGCCGCTGTGTCGATGGCGGGAACAGATAACAGCACCTCACAAAGCGTGAGCACCGTAGCACCGCATTTTGTTCTCTTGTTTTAGGCTACTACTCGGTACTAAACCTTCCGGATTCTCTGGCTGTATTCCACTTCCAATCTTTCCATAAGGTCCGAGCCAGAGCACCTGGCTTACTAGATTCGGAATGGACTTCCGTCTTTTACAAATTGCTGGCACTTTCCCACCCAGCCCGTTTTTCTAGGAGAAGTAATCATTCCGTGCTCTCCTTCCCCATATCGTTTTTATATTGTGCAATTCTATTCCTAGGTGCTGTACCAGGTGCTGCGGATAATCTCCTACTATTATGGCTTCTGTGCTTGAGAGCAAGGATGCTGGCAAAAAAAGTTTGTGCTTTGCAGAGAAATGCTAAGCAGGACTTTCGAGTTGTGGGAGGAGTAGGGTGAGGGGCTGAGTGTAAATAGGTGTTTTGACTCTCCCAAATGTGAACTGAGTTGGAAATAAATTTTTTGACTGTTTGCAAAACATAAACATAGGTCTTTTTCAAAGTTTGGGGTTACGTATTCATTTAACAAGTATGTAATGAGTACTTGCCACTTGGACTATATTATGAAAGGGGCTCTGGAGCATGTGGAAAGTATAGGAAGTGGTCACTAGTTGGGGAGATGACACATACTATCATTTAAATAATATGGAATGTCTCCTTCAGTGCCAGAGCAAGAGAAAAGTGAATAGGATGGAGTAGCTAAGGAAAGACTTCATGCAAGTGTTACTTGAGCTTTGTCTGGAGGGATGTATAGTAAAATTCAAATAGACAGTGGAGGAGGAGGAATGACATTTCAGATGGTGAATACACTGGGACCAAAGGTAATATTTTTAGTGGTTGAGCACCCCTTGACTTTGGATCCAGTCTTGCCCAGGTTGAATCCTGGCTCTACCACTTGGGCAGGTCACTTAACTGTGCCTCACTTTCCTCATTTACCAATCTCGAGGGTTGTTGTTATGAAGATTAAATGAGCTAATATTTGTCAAGTATCTTAGAGGAAGCACCATGCTGTTTAAAAAGGCTTAGAGGTGTAAAACAAAGAAACAAACCCCAGCACATTTCTGGGGGACAGTGACAGAGAATATGTACTAGGAAGTAGATAAGGACAGGTTAATATTCTGGGGCCAGAGCTGACCTGGCAAAAGAATTTGGCCCTAATCTTGTAGGTGATGAAGTTTTTTTTCTAGTGGAATAGGGATAGAGAATGAAATCACAAGACCTCGTTTTAGGAAGTTTAACTCAGGAAGCAGTCTTAATTGGGTGAAAAAGGTCCAGGGTCCTCTCAATGTTCAGAAGTGCAGGCAATGGGTGACTTTTTACCTAGGGCTGCTTTGGGGGATAAATATTGAAAATATCAATTTCACAATAGGGTAAAATTATTTATATTTACTTAATATATTAAAGGCCTGACAGACATATTTCTTACTATTTCTAAAAGCCAATAACAATAATAAACATGGAATACAAAATTAATCTTATCTGTTGGGGAAAGAGGCTTTGGAAAACACAGTCAAAATCATGATGATCAGGTGCCTATGAAAATGGCTGGGTATATTTGAAAGACAATCATTTAGTGATGCACAATTAACACAAAACAGGTGCTGTATAGCACATTTATTTTTGCAATAGATGCAATGAGGTACTTTAAAAAAATCTCTAATTAAAAATTATATTTCATCATGTTTTTTTGCAAAAGCAATAAACACACAACAAACTAACTCCAAAAATATAAGTGAAAATTTCCCCAAAATCTCACCCCACAGAGGTAACAAGCACTTTTTATTAGGGCATGGTGCCCATTTTGAGATACCATATTTCCAGAAGTCAGTGTTTCTACCTTACAGCTATAATATAAACTCTCAGACTCAGTGACAAGTTTTTGCTGGAAGCACACATCTAAATAATCTCACGTGGATGTAATGTTTTTTTGTATCTCTAAGAGAGTTAGCATTGATTCTATGAGTTGGCGATGCTTCTTTTCACTCTACCTACTGGGTATGCCTAATTAATAGTTACCCCCACTTTTGTAACTACTCTTCTGTAGATAATGATCACCAGGAGCATTACAAATACAGAGGAGAATGATGCAACAAAGTATATTTAGACATCAGCCAATCAAAAAGCCAAAATACTGTACAGTGAAGATTGCTATTCACACTGTACCATAATAATTGGTATTCATAATGATGACCTTGGATTAGCCACTTAAGATTAAATCCTTCTCGAGATGGTTTTAATACAGTAAAATCTAGGGTTTTAGAAATGGGTGACTCACATATTTTGGAAAAGGGTTAGCTATAAGTATATCTGCTAACTCAGCTAAACAGCTTATTAACTAGAAGACCCCAAGTTTTCCCAGCCATTTTGAGTAACTTGGACTTTGGCTGAGCGGTCACATTCCAACTTGCTTACAGATCTATCACCGATTCACTGAATTGTTTTTCTCATAGTGGGAATGGACTTGGTCACGTTTGTCTCTTCTGCCGCTCAGCCTCACACACAAGATGGCAGCTCATGTGCACCGCTGGAATCCCTGACTTCGATGGCATTAGCAAGTAACTCATATGTCGGTGCTACTGACATATGTCAATATTGCCTTGCCTTAGCCTATGAAATGTGTGAGAGGAGGGATAAAGTCTTAAAAGCAAACAAAATGGGTGCATTTTATTGTATGTGAATTGTACCTCAGTAAAGTTGATTTCAAACAAGCAAATTGTGAACCTGCATCAACCTCAAGAGAAGGAATACAGGTCTCCAACAAGATGTGTGATGCTTAGTAAGCTTTGGGAAGCTGCCCCCTAATACCGCAAGAAAGTTCTGTTCATTTATCATCTTCCAAGCATAATCTAGGCTTCTGGCAAATTAGACCCAACCACTTTGTTCTACATTCAGTTGCAGAGGGGTGAACCCTTCTAGGGGTTTCCAATTCCTTTCGAAACTCCACCATTCTGAAAGGACTTATGATTATATGGACATTATATCATATGGGAGACACTGTGGGGCTTATGCCATGTCCCAAGATCCCTCCACCTGGGTCAGTAATGGTTAGCCCCGAAAACAAGATTCCCTTTGGCTGGCGCTGCCACCACTAGCTTTCCCCCTTCCCCTACCCCCCGTTTGGCCCTCTCCGGCGGCGGGCCTTCCCCATTGGCCAGCCAAACACAACCGACTGCGACAGCCAATGGAAGCCGCTCTCCTGAACATTCAGAGGATGGGTGCTCGTGGTGTGATGAGGGGAGGTTGGCGCCTGGCACGCGCCCCCCTACATCTGGCAAGTCGGTGACAGAGACAGTAACTCCCCCTACACACGCACACCCCGTGCCCCCGGCTCCCTCCTGTCAGCTGCGCGGGCCCCCACAACCCAAGGCATGTCTTGGCAGCGCCCTCCCCAGCTCCTTGGGGCGCGCGAGTGCACCTGCTTACTCAATAAGACAGAGCATCCCTTTATCCCAAGGCTTGGGAGGGGGCCCGAGGAGGCGCGGGAGGTGAAAGAGGTATCTCTGCCCCTCCCCACCCCCCTCCGAGTCGTGTCGCTCCGGGGCCGAAGTGCTCCAGAGATGCCTTAGGGTGCAGCTCTTTGTCCTCTCCAGCTGTGCTCCCTGCCCGCTGACCCCGCGCGCTCCGAGAACGTGGGGGCGGGGAGCCCGCAACCTATAAAATAAATGGGGGCAAGGAGAAAGGAAGACCTTCCCGGGGCGGCGTGTGCCGCTCTCCTCACCCCCTCCCTTCCCTCCTTAAGCTTCCTCCCTCCGGTGTGTCCCTGGGGTCCAGGCAGGGGAGGGTCTAGGCAACGGCGCGGCGGCGGCGGCGGCGGCGGCCGCCGCCGCTTGGGGAGCGCCGTAGAACCGCCCGCCCGAGTGTCCGGTCCGAGGGCGCAGGCAGAAGGAGGAGGCTCGCGGCCGGCTCACTCTCCTCCATCTCTCTCCCGCTCGCCGGCTTTTGTGTTGGTGCCTCGGAGCGGCAAGGAGGGTGCGCTGGCGGAGGAGGGGGGCCTGGGGAGAGAGGCACCCCCTTCACGCGCGCGCGCACACGTTGCCGGCGCACGCACACACGCGCGGACATACACTCACAGACACGCACACATACACACGCACAAAGCTCGCTCGCCTCGAGCGCACTAACGTGGCCGTTTTCTTTGTGTGGAGCCCTCGAGGGGGGTTGGGGCCCGGGTCCGGTCCGGGGGAGATGGCGCAGCCCATCCTGGGCCATGGGAGCCTGCAGCCCGCCTCGGCCGCTGGCCTGGCGTCCTTGGAGCTCGACTCGTCGCTGGACCAGTACGTGCAGATTCGCATCTTCAAAATCATCGTGATTGGGGACTCCAACGTGGGCAAGACCTGCCTGACCTTCCGCTTCTGCGGGGGGACCTTCCCGGACAAGACTGAGGCCACCATTGGCGTGGACTTCAGGGAGAAGACCGTGGAAATCGAGGGCGAGAAGATCAAGGTGATCCAGACGGTCAGGTCCGGGAAGGGAGGGATCTGGGAGGGGGCCTCGCCCGAGGCATCGCTCCAGTGGTTGTAAACGTCCAGCGCGTGGCCGTGTGGCCGCTTGCCGAGCCCAAGACCCTCGGTACCTCCTCATTCCCTTTCGCTTCTCTCAGTGGCCTGGTTCCCACCTCACCCGTTTTGTTTTGCTTTTTAGGGCTGGCGGGAGTGGTTACACTCCTGCCCTTTGCCCCTGCCTTGACATCTGCCACAGGAAAAGCCTGTCTGATCCCATCCTTGACCCTGAGCCAGGAGCAGTGGCACCTGTGGGCAGAGGGAGGCATGAGGCATCTCTTGGTCCTGGCCTGTGGGATAGATCCCAAAGCACTTTACACATCCTGGGGTCTCTTCTACCTCTTGGGTGTGAATGGGCTGCAAGAACCCACTTGGGCTTAGTTAGCCCTGAGGCATTCGAGAGGGGGAAAAGATGGAAATCCAGAGTGAATGAAAAAGAGCTTTATTTTAAATTTACGGCTTATGGTTAAGCTTAGGGCTGAGGTGGAATAGGGGTGAAGTGGGGGTGGTTCTGGCACAAAGCCATGAGCCCTTTTAAAGCAATTGAGACAGGGTCACACACCAGCCCTGCATATAAGAGACAAACTTGTTCTCTTGGAGCAGTCTCTCTCCAATGGTCTCTTCTTTATTTGTCTTCGATACCTAATGAATGAACTGCTTCATTACTCATTCTGTTGGTATTGTCTTCAGCAGGCCTTTGTAAAAATGCAGAGCAACTTATCTGGAGGCCAAGGAAAAGTGTCTTGCTCCTCCCCCCTCATCAGTTTTTTTTTTTTTTTATCAAATAGGCTAAGCACAGATATTCTTGTCTGACCGTTTATGCTCACTTTAGTTCACAAAAGGTAGAAACCTGATAGGACAGAAATAGTTCAGTGGGCAGAAATATTTCTATGTGCAGAAGGAGGACGTGACAAGGGCAGCTTCATGCGTCAGGGGAGCACGGGGGCCGGATGAGGGGCAGGAACGCGCCTCAAAGGGCGCTGGGCACTAAAGGCCAACCCCTGGGCCCACAGCTGGGCTTTGCTCGAGGCTATGGTCTGACCCTGTCCGGTGAAGGTCAGCCTCCCCCCTGCTGGTCAAAGAGCCCAAATGACCCCAAGGCCCCTCTTCTGGGTGATGTGGAGAGAAGGGCTGAGTAGTGGAGAAAGATGAAACACTCTGAACTGTGCACAACTCTGGATTCCTTGATTATTAAAATGAAGGTGTTTTATTTTATTATTATTATTATTATTATTATTATTATTATTATTATTTCTTGGATGAATGTGTTAAAATGGCTTCAGAGACTGGGCCAAGGCACTAGATGTCAGGAAGATGGGCAGCTCAGTCCTGGTAACAAGTGAGTCCCAGGGTCAGGAAGATAGGGCACTGTTTTGAAATAGTGACCTTTTTGTCCCTTGCATTTTGAGGGGAATTGCTACATTTCCTTTTTAAGTTAAAAGTAGCTATCCGTCTCTATCCTTTTCTAGGGCTCTTACGTTGAGGTTTACTTGGTTTGGACTTTCTCTGGTGTGTCTAACTTCTTTCATGCAACGTTGTAAGATTCTGGAATTTCTAAAACATGCCTTTTTTTAATGCAAAGTGAGAATATACTTACAGATGTGCTCTTCAACCCTCAAAGGCCTTAACGCTTAATGCTATTGCTTGCTTAAAATCAAGTGTCCCATTGAGCCAAAGAGTTCTCTGGATTTAAAAGAGGGGAAATAAGTCCACCTGAAATTCCTATGGAGGCAAAAGGAGCGTTTGAGAGTTTGGGGGAGGAGGGAGGAAGCCAGAAAGTGGGAAATGGGAGAGAAAAACAAGTGCAAGAGGGCCACTGCCCACTGGCCTTGGGGAAATTTTTAGAAGACTCCTTCCCTTCTAACACCCCAGTACTTAGCGAAACTGGGTTTTACAGTCTTTGCCAAAGATTCCAGACTTTTTCCCAGAGGGCAGAGCCTGTGACAGTGTGACTCACCAGAAACAGAGCTCAGCACAACACCATGTGCCGATAAGTGCTTAATACAGGCTTTTTTGGGAAGATGATATTTTCGAGAGGGCAGAGCCTTGTGACACTGCTCCCCGAGGGGCTCTCTGAGTGCAGATTCTGAAGGAGCTCAGGGTGCGGGGCGGGGGTGGCGAGAGGGTGACTCTGCCTCTTGTGAAGCCGCTGCAGCTCCGGGGCCCAAGGCAGCGGGCAAGAGCGGCGTGTCTGTGGGAAGGCGGCCGCAGGGCAGCTAGCACCTGATCTAGAGGGGAGGAGATTTTGCCCAACACTCCCGCGGGCTGGGAGTTTTTCAGGGAACAAATGCCAAACCCCTGCGAGGAGGTGACTGCTGAAGGCTTCTCCCTTCGGGGGAAGCGGCCCTAGACCACAGCCAGCGATAGGAGTGCCAGCCCCCACAGGGCCAGGGTGGAGAGGTCTGGGCAAGCTCTTCCCTGGGCCCCGGAATAGGGTGTGGCCTCTGCTGGGCTGCCTCCCCGGGTCCCCTGCAGGGGGATGGGGGACTGAGTTATCGGATTGGGGGCTACTCTTAATTACCAGGGCCATCTCTAGGGCTTCGAGGCCCCATTTGGTGTCTCCAATCCATGTAGCCCCGCCCCCTCCCCATCATAACATTTATAATCCAGTGTTTCCTGGTTAACATGAACATCCAGGAAAGCTTCCAATGAGTAGACAACAGCAACAACAATAATAATACTAACTGCTATTTATTGATTAAACCAAGAGCCCGGGCTAGGTGCTTTGCATGCACTATCTAATTTGATCTTCACAGCTGCCCTATGCAAATCAGACTGTTATTATCAGTCCTATTTTATAGATACGGAGACCAAAGGTAGGTTAAATAACTTGCCTAAAGGCGCTTGGATCTGAGCCTCCCTTCTTTGACCCTTGAGCCCAAGCACTCCTCTGTCTCAGTACCCTGCCTTCCCTGGGACAGGGTCCGGATTTCCACGTGGATTCAGAGCCCCTGCTCTTTCCCGCGGCTCTCTGCTCTGTGGGGGCAATCTCTGGCCCTGGGCAGTGTGCTCAGGGGTAGGTAGCAGGCGGGGCAGCCAGCCTGTGGGCTCTTCTAGGCCAGGGGCCCCGGGTTATAGCCCTGAACTCAGGAGCCTTCAAGATGTCTCCTTCAACTGCACCCCAGACACTGAGTTGAGTGCCTGGGTTTTACTTTTTGCACCTTGACTGTCTCCCTTTGGATGTGGAGAATCAGAGAATGTTCAGAGATAGAAGAGACCTTAAAGAATCTCTAACCCAATGTCCTCATTTAACAGATAGGAAAGCGAGGCTTCGAGAGGGAAAGTGACTTGCCCAAGATCACATAGGGACAGGCTTACCGCTCAGGTCTCCCCATTCCCTGGCCGGTGCTCTTCCCTGGCAATTTGGGCTAGTCCCATGGTGTGCCCAACCCATGCAGTTACTTGTGACAGGGACACGAGGGGCATCATACAGGAAAGATGACAAGTCTTCCTGACATCAGCCTTTAATGACAGGATGTGTCCATCTCCTACAGGTTAGGTCAATCATATTGAGCTTGCCTCAGCCCCAAAGCACTGGAAAATGCCAGATAGGAGTGGGGGGGGGGGAGGTGGGATGGGGGAGGTAAGAGAGGGGAGGCTCAGAACTAATTTTTGAGCCATTCTTTGTAAATTCTCATGGAATTTACCCCTGCTCCTGTCTAGTTTGGTTCGCCCCCGACAACTGGGCACCCCCTCTGCCCCAGCCCTCCGGACCAGGGGCGAACTGCAGGTCAGCCATGGCCATGGGCAGGTGCTGCCCAGGACTGTGGACTGTCTTCCTCTGCTGAGCACTTGGACCAACACCTTCCCGTGTGTTACATTACTGAGTGGATGGAGGCTGAGCTAAGTGTTCCCTCAGAAGCTGCCTGCAGTCAGAATGACATCATGTCTTCCTTAGGGCTTCTGAGCTTCCATCTTCTGCCAGTTCGCTTAATGGCTAATTATCTCTCAGTGTGTGTTTCTCTGTCGGCCTTGCTGCCTCTCTTTCTGCGCGTGAGTTTCTCTTTGTCTCTGTCCTCCTTTGCCGTTCTCTGTGTCAGCCTCCTGTGTGAATGGGTGTGTATCTTAGACGCAGATGGGACAGTCCAGCTAGTTGAAATAAGATTTGTTTTAGACTTTTCCCATCATCCACTCGGGCATCCTCCAAAGGTTACAGATGTATTTGTCTCCCTTTTTCCACTTCTACCCTACGCCACTGGCCTCCAACAAAAGGACATTCATCTATAGAAAGATGCCAGATATGTTCCCCAGGGAAAAGAAATACCCATGTCAGCTAAGAGCACGTGCAGGGGTGGGGGATTGCTGAAACTTGCTCAGGCAGCGGTAGCCCCGGGAAAATGGTTTAAAAAAACTAGATTTATCTTTGGCAGCTCCCCACACTCTGCCCCTCGACCCTCCTCCACCAGGACAGGACCCCCTGTCCCTTTGGGCCTGCCCCCAGCCACCCATGGCATGTTGCTGGCTCTACTCTCTTCTCCCCCTCCCCAGTGACTGCCTTAGCTTTGGCTCTCGCCCATCATCAAGAAGCCAAGCTTTCCGGGCTTTCCAGGAGGAGAACCAGTGGATCCAAGGACCAGTGCTACCAGGACAGCCGATGGGCCTTCTGAGACCATGGCAACAACTAGCACCCAGGTCTCTCAATTCCAAGGCTACTGCTGCTGCATTTCCCACAGCACCTGCTCAATTAGTTGTCGGGCCAGACTTGATGGTGGAGGTTTCGGGCCAGGGAGGAAGGGAGAGTGTGCATTAGGCACTGTGTCATGTACTTATAAGGAACGCTAATCTTTACAGCATCCCCACAAGACTGCTGAGGTTATCCTCAGTTTGCAGGGGAGGACACTGAAGATAGAGTAAGTAGCTTGCCTAAGGACACCTGACTAGTAATAGCACATGATTGTGCTGAGGTTTGTACCCAAGCTGGTTTGCCTCCTCTATGCCCCCACTAGCCCTTGGAGAGAACAGAGGATCTGGGGAGCATGTACGTGGCTAAGGGGCAGTCAGCACCCCTGGCTACTGTGTGGATGCAGGGCCCACAGGAAAGGAAGAATGGATGAGAGGAGTACCAGCTGGAAAGCGGAAGGAGATGCTTTCACTGTCTGGCAGGGAGCGCGGGTTTGGGAGGATGCTAAGAACAGGGACACCAATCCCCCAAACAAAATGAGGTCATTTGTGTGCAGTGAACCGACTGCTGTGCTCTCCCTTTGTGATGGCTCTGAGGCCACACCATCCATTCTGATTTTCTGCTGTGAGCAGCCTGTTTCCTGGCTCACTGCTGGCCATAGAGAGGGGTGCAAAAAACTTTAGGGTGGGGTTTATAAGGAGCTAGAACGGAGCAGTGCTACAGTTTAAATTCTGAGCCTCCAAACAAAAGCTTCAGGGCTCCCCATGGCATTGGAAAGGCAAAGGAGGTCTACAGCAGAAAGGGTCTTCCCCCACAGCTCCGGCAGTTTGGATGGTGTATACAATTCCGAAGCCAAAGAAAAGCCAAACAGCCAACCTACTCAGCCCCAAACACCTCACACACTCCCACCCGTGTTCCTGCTAGTGGCAGGTATTTTTAGAGCTCTGAGCTCATGGTGTTAAAGCATCTGCCACATGCCTGAGGGCTGGTAGGGATTCAGCCTTGCTCAGAGGCAGGAGTTAGGACTACTGGAGGGTGGGGGTGGGGATCAGGAGCCAAGTGGTAATGATATTCTTGCGCTATACCCGCTCTCTTCCCACTGACCTCCATCCCTTTCCTCGCCCGCTCTCCCTTCCTCCCTGCTCAGAGCACTGGCGAGGTGGAAGAAATGAAATCTTTTCTGTCTCTGCTTTCTGACGCAAATTAGTGTTCAAGGACTTACGTTTTTCTGCGTAACCAAAGTCGAATGTTCTCTCTGAAATCGCCTTGGCAGATATGCAGGATGCCAGACTGCTTGTAGTTTTGGTGGCTCAGGCCAGTACTGCTTTTTGATGATGATGGATGATGATGATGATGGCGGTGGCAACCATGGTGACAAGTGATCTGATGCAGAAAAAGAACTGCTTACAAGTTTGGCTGGAGAAATGCCAAGAGCACTGAGGAAATAACTAGAGAACAAATAATATATTCTAAGTGGTGTGGTACAGGGGCGCCTGGGTGGCGCAGTCAGTTAAGGGTCTGCCTTTGGCTCAGGTCATGATCTTGGGGTCCTGGGATCGAGCCCCGTGTCAGGCTCCCTGCTCAGCCAGAAGCCTGCTTCTCCCTTTCCCCCTGCCCCTACCCTCTGCTCATTCTCTCTCTCCTCCCCTCAAATAAATAAATAACATCTTTAAAAAAATAAATGGTGTGGTACAGGCTCAAAGTGCAATAGAAAGTTTTAAGAAAAGAGAATTTAAGAGAAGTTGGAGAAAAATGGAGTTTTAGGAAGAAGGCAGACGTGAGCTGAGCCTTGAAGGCTTCACCAGTTCTGCTGGGGAAGGATGGACTAGCAGGAGGGAACAACCCGGGTGTAGCCGAGCAGTCTGAAACCAGGCTGGGTGGAGTGGAGACTCCTAGCATCAAAAAGACTCTGCGGTAGTCCAGCAGTGAGGAGAGGAGGGTCTGGCCTAGGGACATGAAAATCAAAATAGAAGAAGGGGTGAATCTGACAATCGTGCCAAAGGAATGTGGCAGTCATGTCCCTAGAGGAGATGAAGGGGAGCCTGGACAATGAAAATTGATGTTTAGAATGATGAGGACTCTGGGGCCCTGTAAGATCTTCACTCAGCAAAGAGATTCAATTATATTTACCAGATACTCACTGACTGCTAACTCCAAATAAAGGCTATACTTGGTTTTAAGAGCTGTAGTAGTCAATTAGTGACCATAATCCAATCTTCTTTGATAACTGAGAATTGTATAGGGCCTTGGGACCATCATTCTGATTACGAATTTCTCTTCTCCAAGACTTTGGATGTATAAAGGGAAGTAGATGGGGCTGAATGTATGTTGACTCCAGGGTATCCCTTGGGAGTTGCGTCTTTGTCTATGTTACTGATATCAGCATTTTTCCTTCATAATTTGGCCTTTATCCCAAAAGCTAAGATGCAGAAGAAAAATCCAGTGAGCTAAATTGCTTTTTACATACCAAAGAAGTGAACTTAAGCTAAAAGGTGAGACTTTTAACACTAACTTTGTTTTCTTTAAAAAGTCATGCAAATAATGCAAGACAAAGTGATATATGTTTATAGTAGAAAATTTGGAAAATACAAAAAAGAAAGAAAATAAATACCATCTGTAGCCCACGGCCCATAAATAACCATTAATCTCCTGGTACATACACTTCCAGTCTTTCCTAGGCATATATCTATGTTTAATATTTTTCTGAGAAATTGGGACCATAGTATATGAAAAATTTTGTATCCTGCTTTTTTACTTCCTGATACTTTATGAGAATTTCCTCTTTGAAAACATTATTTTTAATGTATGCATAATAGTCCATTGTATAGATATGTACATACATTTTAGCTATTCTCTTACTGAGATTTTAGGTTATTTCCTGTTTTTAAAAGTATAAATAATACTGCAATTAAGACCTTTGTACAGAATTTTGACCACATCTCTATTTTATATAGCTTTCTGGAAGTGAGATTATAGACTTGAAGAATTTTGAATATTTTTAAGGTTCTTAATAATGCCAAATTGCCCTCCAGAAAAGTTCACCAATTTACATTCATTTTTCAACTAAAAGCCTTAAGATTTTTTTTAAAAAGGATTTATTTATTTATTTGACCGAGAGAGAGAGAGAGAGAGAGAGAGAGAGAGAGAGAGTACAAGCAGGAGGACCGGCAGGCAGAGGGAGAAGCAGGCTTCCCGCTGAGCAGGGAGCCCAATGCGGGGCTCGATCCCAGGACCCTCGGATCAGGACCTGAGCCGAAGGCAGACGCTTAACCAACTGAGCCACCCAGGCACCCCCAAGATTTTTTGACTCAAGATTTTCAACTAAAAATTTTAAGAAAAATTTTACATCCTTGAGAGAAACCTCTCTCTATACTTTGATAAATCCACTCTGCCAGTCTGTGTCAGGGCTTCTCACCACATTTTTGTTTTTTGAAGATTTTAATTTTAATTTTATTTTTTTAAAGATTTTATTTATTTGACAGCGAGAGAGACACAGCGAGAGAGGGAACACAAGCAGGGGGAGTGGGAGAGGGAGAAGCAGGCTTCCCGCGGAGCAGGGAGCCCGATGCGGAGCTCGATCCCAGGACCCTGGGATCACGACCCGCGCCAAAAGCAGACGCTTAACAACTGAGCCACCCAGGCGCCCCTGTTTTTTGAAGATTTTAAAAATTTATTATTTTATTTATTTGTCAGAGAGAGAGAGAGAGAATGAATGAGCGCACAAGCAGGGAGAGCGGCAGGCAGAGGGGAAGCAGGCTCCTCGCTGAGCAGGGAGCCCAGTGTGGGACTGGATCCCAGGATCCTGGGATCCTGACCTGAGCTGAAGGCAGATGCTTACCTGACTGAGCCACCCAGGCGTCCCTCTCACCACGTTTTTTTCATAAGATCACAGAATCAAGTTTTCTCCTATGCATTCTTGTTTCCTTTTCTGACTCCACATATGGGTTTTGTATCTTCCAGGTTCAGGTGTGGGACACAGCAGGTCAGGAACGCTTCCGCAAAAGCATGGTCGAGCATTACTACCGCAATGTGCATGCAGTGGTCTTCGTCTATGACGTCACCAAGATGACATCCTTCACCAACCTCAAGATGTGGATCCAAGAATGCAATGGGCATGCCGTGCCCCCACTAGTCCCCAAAGTGCTTGTGGGCAACAAGTGTGACTTGAGGGAACAGATCCAGGTGCCCTCCAACTTAGCCCTGAAATTTGCCGATGCCCACAACATGCTCTTGTTTGAGACTTCAGCCAAGGACCCCAAAGAGAGCCAGAACGTGGAGTCAATTTTCATGTGCCTGGCTTGCCGATTAAAGGCTCAGAAATCCCTGCTCTATCGTGATGCTGAGAGGCAGCAGGGGAAGGTGCAGAAACTGGAGTTCCCACAGGAAGCTAACAGTAAAACTTCCTGTCCCTGTTGAAACCAAATGGTGTAAATACAAGATCCATTATTACTGGAGTTTTTTCTTTCCCTTTTTTTCCGTGCCTGCATAACGCTGACACTTGCTTGTTTCCATAAAAATTGATATTAAAATAAAATTTGTATAGATTATCACATGCCTTTATGTCTTGCTTTCCTCCAAGAAGACATTTCTGATTGTGCTGAGTAGAAAAGCAGCCTGCCCTCCTAGAGCAGTACACTTTGCCAAGGCACACTCCCTACCAGCCTTCTATGCCACCTGAATCATTCGAGTCACTTCTTCAGGACTAATTCTTTCTGTTACTCAGTGTCATCAGTGGGCAGAAACACCCAAATGGGGTGGGATACAGGCCAGACATGTTTTTCTAGGGTGCTAATGAAGGTGGAGGATAGAGAAGTCTTGAAAGGAAATGTTGACTCACAAATATTTCCTAGGTTCCCTGGATTTCGAGAGTAGGTGGCTCTCTCCTTATTTCCCAAAGCTTAAAAATAAAAAGTATAGGGGCGCCTGGGTGGCTCAGTCATTGAGCGTCTGCCTTCGGCTCGGGTCCCCGGGGTCCTGGGATCGAGCCCCACATCGGGCTCCCTGCTCAGCGGGAAGCCTGCTTCTCCCTCTCCCACTCCCCCTGCTTGTGTTCCTGCTCTCACTGTGTCTCTCTCTGTCGAATAAATAAATAAAATCTTTAAAAAAATAAATAAAAAGTACAGGTCTCCCAAGGGCCTCAGTTGGCTTCCAAAGTAGTTAAATCCTGCTTCCCATGTTTTACCTTGGAGTCTCTGACACCCACAGTGGTACTTTTTGAAGAGGTTAAGGCTCAAGCCAACAATCCGTTATGCCCCCAGATCCTTGCTGGGTGCTATGGAGGAAACACAGCAAGAGGAGGATTTGTCCCCTATGTTCAAAGACCCTCTGATCTTGTGGGAACAATGTACACACTGAAACCACTTGCAAACGAAAATTAGACAATGACATCACCAAGTTCGAGTCTGTGCTCTGGGAATTGAGAGCGTTATGTACTCAACATTAGGGAGGAGTCACCGAAAAATAACTGACCTTGTTTTGTATGTTGAATAGTGTTACATTAGGATTGGTAAAGAGGAGGGGGCTGGGCCAAAGTAGGGAGGCAGGAATGACCTTGGGGGTTGAGTGAAAGGATAAGAGCTGAGCAGCCCTAGTGGGGAGCTGAGGGTAGGGAGGCCTACACAAGAGGCAGGACAGTTTGTTGCTCTTTGAGTCACTGGGAGTTTTTGGTGGCTCTCCAGCAGGAGTCCTGTAGGTATTTCTTTCTTTTTTTTTTTTTCTAAAGATTTTATTTATTTATTTGAGAGAGAGAGAATGAGAGATAGCACGAGAGGGAAGAGGGTCAGAGGGAGAAGCAGACTCCCCGCCGAGCAGGGAGCCCGATGTGGGACTCGATCCCGGGACTCCAGGATCATGACCTGAGCCGAAGGCAGTCGCTTAACCAACTGAGCCACCCAGGCGCCCCCTGTAGGTATTTCTTAAATGTCTGGTCCTATGGATGCGAAAGCCCCCCGTCCAATTGTTAAAGCAACTAAGAGTGGCTCTAAAGGCATAGCTACAGTAGCCCCAGCTAGATTTCTTTGTTTTGGGGGTGCTCCTTAAGGCTGCTCTCTTGTCAGAAGCCCACAGAGAGAGGGTCCCAGGCAGACGGCCCCTGAGCACTTTCCCCTGGTAGGTGAACTCAGGTCTGTCCCCTGTCCTCCTCCCCGCCACCCCAGCAAAAGGTAATATGTACCAGATGTGCTTCCCACCCAAACAACTAGCCTGTCCCTACAACCTTCTTCCTCTAGAACTGGCTAACTCCGCACCCCATCCCCATCCCACCCTCCACCCGGCCTCAGGCTGAGTCCCAGCCCCCAGTCTGGTTTTTTCATCCCTTGGCTTCTGCCTGGATCTGTCTTTGGAGCCTGCCTAATACACCCTGGTTAGGGCTGTGTTTTCTTACTAGTTGTCCCCACCCAATGCCCTGCCCCTGAATCTCCCCCAAGCGGCTGGGAGCCTGTTGTCTGTTGGTGAACTGCCTGCCGAAACCCCTGTTGCTATGCTTCTCCCCAGCAGAATAACCTTGGGCCTTGTCTCAGACTTGAGATGCTGACTCCTTACCCGGGACACGACCTGCTATTGTGGTGTCTTTGGGTTCTTGACCTGGCTGCAGGGCCGGATCATCTCTCAGTGGCCGCAGGTACGCTCGTCCATTCTGGTGGGTACATTTCAGTCCAGGTCCTGGCCTGTCTTGGTCAGGGACCTTCTCTGCTGTAACAGGGTCAAGATAACAACCTTCTAAGTCCTCTAATCAGGATTGCCTCTTCTAGACCTGAATTGCCTCTGACACCTTTTAGGCATTCAACAAACGTTTACTGAGCATCTACTATGAGCCACTGTGCTAAGCCCTCGGGATATGTAGGTGAACAATATAAAATTCTGCTCTCATAAAGGAGATAGGCACTAAACAAGAAATGAGATCCATATGAGAGGATTTGAGAGCAATAAGGACTCTGAGGGCGATAAAATGGTAAATGGACAGAAAGTGAGAGAGGGGGCGGAAGGGCAATATATTAGATAAAGTGAACACAAAAGATACCTTTGAAGAGATAACATTTGAGCTGAGACCCGAATGAAGAAAAGCAACCAGGGGTAACGTCAGAAAGAGAACCCCGAGCAGAGGAAAGAGCAAATGTCAAGGCCCTGAGGCAGAAGTGAGGTTGGTGCATTTGAGGAACAAAAGAGAGGCTAGTGTGAGCAAGGGGGGAAACATGGGAGATGAGGTTGAGAAGTAAGTAAGGCCAGGTCTATTGGCTAGGGTTTTATTTAAGTGCAGTGGGAAGCCAGTGGAAAGTTTTAGCATCATCTAGACTCGGTAACCTTTGGAAAGATTCAGGAGGCTTGCTGACCAGCAAGAAAGTGGGAAAAGCCTCTACTTTTCTTAGCTCCTCTGAGAGGAATAGACACCCTTCCTGGGTAACTCCTGAGTGTGGGTCTCAGGGCTGTCATTTCCATGCTGGCTGGCCCCCACCTTAAAAACCAAACTCTGGGGGCGCCTGGGTGGCTCAGTTGGTTAAGCGTCTGCCTTCGGCTCAGGTCATGATCCCGGGGTCCTGGGACAGAGCCCCGCGTCGGGCTCCCTGCTCAGCAGGAAGCCTGCTTCTCCCTCTCCTACTCCCCCTGCTTCTGTTCCTGCTCTCGCTGTGTCTCTGTCAAATAAATAAATAAAATCTTTAAAAAACAAAACAAAACAGAAAACCAGACTCTGAACTTCCCCAAGACTATCATCTTTTGGTCCTGCGAAGGCTCTTGTAATTTTGCAGTGACTATAGCAGGCACTCACCAACCCTACCTGCCTCTGTCCTCTGAGCCTCACCTTCGTGATCCTGTCGTTACCTGCAGTAATGACACTGCTCTCCCTCAGGTACCTGGGAACAGAGAATCCTGAGAACCTCCGGGCTTCACCCAGTCTCCTAGCCCTAGAACTTTCTGCTGGCACCAGCAGGGTGGCACAATGGCACTCAGGCCTCCATCAGACTGAGCAAAAGGATTTGGGAATGGGCTGTTCCTAGAATGCAACCAGAGGGAGGGGACTCAGGAGGCCAGAGAACCATGACACCCTTGTTGTTGTGAGGGTGGTGAGGAGCAGGGAGAATCAAGTGAAGTGAGGTGCTTCCAGGCCTCTCATTCAGCCTCACTATGTCTCTGGAATGATCCATGATGGCCAGGATGTCTCCTCTACAGCTCCTCTTTACTTTTCGGAGCTATGCCCTTGAATCTTCACCTATGTAACAGAGACAGAACCCAGAGAAATAACTACCAGCATTTGAATGCCTATTATATGCCAGGCCCTGTAATAAAACACTACATTCCTTCACTAGCTCACTTAATGCTCCCTCAACCCTATGAGGTGGGAATAATGATTTCCATTTTACATATATGAATATAGATGTGCTGACAGATTTAGTGACTTGTCCGATATAGTAGGTGGTTAAGCGAGATCTGTCTTACTTCAGTCTAGGCTCTTTCAGTGATATTATACTGTCTTTCTAGCTAGTTCCAAGCTCCAGAACTCTTGCAGGGATTGCAGGTTCAATAGAGGTGGTCCCCCTGACCCATGGGGGTTTGGCAAGCAGGTTATTCAATATCCAGGAGGCCAGAATGGGAACATTCCTTCTTGAATGGGATGCCTGATCAGGTCTCTGCAAGAAGCCCAAGTGGCTGACAGAATTGTCAGGTCTGAGCCAAAGGAGTCCCAAGATATCCCTGCCTTTGGACAATAGCTGGGAACCACACAGACAGCTGGATTCTGCTGCTCAGCCTTTGAGGCTGTAGGATATTGTCACTGGTCCCCCCACCCCACCCCGACCCACGAACTATCCCTCTCCCAGTATCTTGCATTTGCTCAGGCCTCCAAATTCAGCCTGATGACTTGCTTTGGCCAAGTTCACTGAGGCTGAGGACTGTTTCAGCAAGATCCTTCAGTCAGAGAGCCCAAGACCAGATGCTGCTCTGAGCACCACCACCTACAGCAGTGCCCTGGAGGGATACCCAGCCCAGAAAAGCTGGAGAAGCCCACCCACCAAGTGAAACTGACTGCAGCCCACCCTGAGTGTGGGGAGGGGATGGCGAGTGTGGAGATGTGCTGAGAACTCCCTGGATAGCAAGGCTCAGCTTCTCTATAGCAACTTCGAGTAGCAGATGCAGAAAGAGGTCAATGATTATCCTCTTGTAACACCTGAGGGGACAGAGTCACTGCCTTAACTTATAGGCTCTCCTCCACTCACCATCCCTCATCCCCCCACTGGGAGAGGCCTTGCTCCCTTTGGAAGGACTGGTCTAGGCGCCACTGCTTTCAAATCTTGTTCCGACTCCAAGTCCCCTTGAATATCCACGACCCTAACAACTGGCGCTGGGGCAGCAGGACCGAGATAGAGGTCCCAGAAATTCCCTCAGATTAGCGGCTCCAAAATGCTGGCTCATAGCCACCTGCATGAACTCACTTGGCAACCTGTTAAAGTACAGATTCCTGGGATACTAGCCCCAGACACCCTGATCTACTAGATCTGGGGGCAGAGCTCAGGAATCTGTATTTTTAAAAAGTCCATAGTTGGCTCTCATGTGCCTCCCAGGTCTCTTCTCTCTGGCACGTGTTCTCTCTCTCTGGGTAGCTGGGTGTCCCCAGGCTTCCTGATGAACTCTCAAATCAGAAACTACCTTTCCCAAGCCAGAGCTTCAAAACTAGTGATCTGGGCAATCATGGAACCCAGCTTCCGTGAGGACCACTCCACACAAGACACAGCTTGATAATTCAATAGAGATTGCACGTCTGCTGTGTGCCCTCTGCTGGTTAAAATTCATGAAGGTTGGAAAGTGTTCACCAGTGGGAGTTAGAACTGGGGTA